ATGATTAAATACCCAAGGGAGGTTTTTTTACATTCTGTAGGGAACAAGTTATGTCCTTGTGGTATTTCATAGCTGGCCTGTTTAGATTAAGACTGGTAACCTGTTGGTAGACTCTGGATACATGTATAAAGATTAACTTTATATAGTTTAAGTTTCTGTAAATTTGACAGCTTTATTAATGACTTTTTAATGAACACGCTTAACATTCATTTCAGTTTTGCGTAATTCAGAGTGCTGTATTAAAGCTATTGAGAATCGATCTGTGTAGCAAAGTTGTGTGATGACACTGCTCCAAACAACATACATGAACGTAGTAATACCTACAAAAATGTTTTAAAATGTTTGGTTTTGTTTCTTGTTTTTTTTTCCTCTGGTTAAAAAAACCTTCATATTGAAGGATAAAAATGCAGACTGTCTCTATACTGAGGAAAGATGTGATGTCTGGAAACAGACTCATGGCTGAGAGAGTTGCAAGAACTGAATGACCTGAAATATAAAAGGCAATGCAGAAAAGAGAACGTAGGACAACCTATACAAGTAAAAAAGTTGTTCTAATTTGAACGTGTAAGGCCAATACTGGAAAGACCAAGGCTCAGAAAAGAATGCAACAGAAAGGAAATTATATTCCTTAAGAACTCCATTAGTATGAAGCAGAGGAAAAAACGACTGTGTTAGGCAGGCATCAAGGAAGGCTATTGGATGGCTTATGCTGGGAAGGACAATGTGTTAAACCTCTTGTTCTGGTCTTCACTTAAAAAGATGGTTTCAGTGAGCTGCATTACCAAATGTGTAAGTCCTTGGCTTAGATAAATATTAAGTGTTTTGATAAGTTAGGTCTAGAGCATTCAAATAAATCTAATAAAGTTATACATCAATACCTGAAGAAATAATTGAAGCAATGTGAGATGTTGATAGTTACCTTTGAGAAGAAGTAAAGTGTCACTGAGGTTTACAAACACTATGGAAGACCAAACAGTAGTTTCACCAACGTCTATGTTGTCAGTGTTTTCTTCTGACTGGGTCTAGATAACTTCTTATTCAGTGTCTTGGCCAGACCCTCTGTACTGCCCTTTAAAATACCTAATTCACTGTAGGCTTGGCACACCTACTTATTAGGTAATGTCTCAAGTACATCTTACTTAACACAACTTGTTATTTGAATAGCTGGTGTCTCTTATTGGAGCAGCTACATTAGTAGGATGATACAAGCAGATAATGGACACAAGTTTGTGAGCACACTTTTTTCTGGCAACACATTATTATGATAGAAGATGACTACTTTTGCATACCTTGCCTTGTCTAGATATAGCAGGTGCAAAGGTAGAGCAGGTGCAATCCCACCATACATATTAGTAATTTGGATTGGCTGAGGGGTGAAAAATATCTAATAGCTTCTGCCTTTTGTGACCTATTTTACAATAGATGTCAATAGAGGAGGTATTTGGCAGACACTCTGGTCCTCAAAGACTTACAGCTTGTCTCCAGAAGGTATGCTTGAACAGAAATAATTAACCACAAACACAAGTGGGAAACGACTGGCAAAGGCAGCAGTTTGTATAAAGTGATCAAAGGGGTTCACAAGCTGTCAATGCTGTTGCTAAAGAGCAGAAATTCTGTTAAAATATGTGTGCAGGAGTGTTGGGTGCTGGTCAGGTATAAGCTGAGGTATTTTCAGTTTCTGATGCCTATCATCTTTAATTTCTTTCTTTCAGCTACCTTCCCTGCCTGCTCCCGCTTTCCCCCCCATTCTTATTTACAAGACAGCAGAGATGTGATTAATACATAGGTTAAATCTGCAGGCGTTTTATGTGGATTAATTTTCTTCCCCTCTTTAATTTTGTTGACATTCATAGTAAGATTTCAGTTAGGCGTCTTTGGGAAAATGGTTTACTGAGTGTTATCTTATTTTCTATCATCTTTTTGCAAGCTAAGCTCTTGGTAGTAGATGTTGGTTCATGCACTCAAATTCATGAAGTTATTTTGAGTATCTAAAATAAAACTATAAACCTACTTATTCCAGAATTTTGACAAATGTTTGATTTTGTTGTATTATTTACAATGTCCAGAGATCAGTAAATCTAAGAATTTGCTTTATAATAATAGGTATTTGAAAACGTTCTGGTTTTTATTATTGTTTTGTCTGTTAGCCTGCATGTTTAACCCAACTACTTGTATATACAGTTTTCAAGGTTGCTTAGTTGGGCAATTTTTAGCCCATTAAATGGAGTTTTATCTGGATGCATTTTTGTTGTCAAAACAAAGAAACATCTAATTGCCCCAAGAAGGGGGGGAAAAAAACCCCAACACCCAACAAAATCAAACAAGTAACTCTTCGATGTATTTTGAAATTCTTGCAATTAAAATTCATTGGCAGTGCTCCAAGACAGTAAAATTCAGTAGCTGTGTTATGTCCTGTAACAGGCCTTTTCCCCCTGATTTTCCTGCTTCTGTTTGAGGGCTTTTTTTTCTCTTTACCTCTTACCCCTTGCTCCCTGCACAACAGTCATGATTCAGTGCAATTGCACTTGGAGCTATGTTTCTTTGCAAGTGAAACAGTCAGATTGATAGAGACTAAATTTTGGCAATGGAAGAGAATACTAACGTAGTCAGTTATTGCCTTTTGAATCATGAGTGTTAGAATTGGTTGCCAGCTGAGGTGTGGTAACTTTGGAAATAGTTCATGTGCAGGAGTGTTTGGTCAATCTCTTTCTTGCACTCTCTCTCATATGTTGGGTAAAGAAAGGTTGCATAAATATATAAAACATAGTGCTTCAGTAGTAGCCTTTTGTGTGCTTTGATAATTTATTCTCTGTGGTCAGACCCTAAATCGAGGTTTTTGTAACTAAATGGATATTTCAGTGAATGTGTTTCAGTAATTTTATACCAAAATGGAGATGATTGAAGTTTTAGTAATTTATTTCTCTTCTAATGATTTTAACTAAAACCTTTAAACTTATTAATTCTAAAATAATAAGCATAGGAAAAATGGTGAAAGGCTATTTACCCCACTTTCCAATCCCAACATTGCATGTAGAATTGTCAAAGCCTTCTTGTTTGAAACAGTATTGATACTGTGTTTGTTCTCTGTCATTATGATGTGCTCAGGTAAAAGGAGCTATAGTTCTCTATTGCAAAATATTGTTTTGTCAGTGCTTGCGGTAATAATCCTTGCTCACTTCACAGCACCTTGTTTTTAGAAGCATTAGGGCTGCCAAATTCTTGCAGATTAAGTTACTGTGCATCAGCTGAAATGTGGCATGTGCCAAACCCTTGATAAATGAAAGGTAATATTTACATAGCCAAGAGTGAAAGTGAAGAAACTAAACCCAGTTAAACTGCTTCATGTGTCATGTAGTCTTAGAGTTTGCCTGTGACCATTTTTACCATGGCCCAACTGACATGCAAAAATTGCATGACATGCATGGTAATTTTGTTACAAACCTGAACCTTTGCTCTGGATACCATTAGAATTACTTGCCATGAATATGATTACAATTAGTGATGACTCCTTGGAGAAGCAAATGCTTTTTTTGTGCATGTGTCTCATAATGAAACTTTCTCTAATGAGTGTTAAAATGGTCTGTGCAGGGTCAGCTTTATCATGGAATAAATTTAGAGTAGAATTGAACCCAATGGCATATAAAAACTGTCACCCTGTTACTACCTGCGAAGACAATGTAGACTAGTTCTAGAGTAGTTATAAACTACTGCTGGGAATGCTTTCTTTGATCACCACCATCATCACCCCCCTCCAATGTTCCTGTCAATATGTGTGTATTGTAAGGCTTAAAAGCAGAACCACCAGCTCTCAGAAAACCTCCTTCTGCATGTCGTTTTTCTCTGGAGAGGCTGATGGTGGCACGTGTCAGATATATAGATTTCTACTGGGAAGTGATAATAGCTGTTGCAATGAATAAATTGAATAATTAAAAACTTTACAGTATTTTGCCAGTACTACAAGATGGGTGGATTAGTTTAGTTGATCAGCTGTTCCACAGCATTTCAGCAACTTGAGCCAACTGCTCTAATGCATGCATTTTTGAGATTAGGGTCCAGTTTCCAAAACTGGTTGTACTTTGAACAGTAGTGTAATGCCCTCAGCGCTATATAATTGCAGTCCATTTCCTGCAGTTGAAACTCCTATCTCCCCATATGTTTGGCCATTTCTAGCTTGTGTTCCCAAAAGGAGAGCATTATTGAGTCAATCAAATCTCCACTTGCAGTCTCAAGTTGTATTCCTTTCTAGGCCTGTAATCTGCTTCTGGTTTCCTCAGTCTCATTTATGCCCCTGCTCAGATGTATCAGGTGTCTGGTCCATGTGCGCCTGTTAACACTGTACAACTAATTCGATGGTAACTGTTGCAGGTGTTCTTCCAGTGGAATTTGCAGAAGACATTCCTTCTGACTATGTGCATGTTTTTAAGTTATGAGTTTCCTGGTCCCTTCCAGTGTTCCTTTGTTATGGCAATTGTCTGTTGTCAAGTTTGTTGTAAAAACAGATCTTGCAATTCAAATTTTATGTGTTTACAGGGTACTGAATTTATTGTTGTCTTAAGACATTTAAAAATTAGATTTACTGAAACGCTTCCTGTGAACTTTTCTAAGCCTATAAATACAACTTGCAAATGTAAGAACTTTTGAGGGCTAAAAATTCACTCTAATGTTGCTAGATTTCCACAGGCATCGGAAGCAGATGGTCGAGGCAACAGAAGCAAACTTTTAATTTCAAAATGGGTCCTTATAAAATGTGACAGTAATTTCCAGCATTTTTACTTTGAGGAATCTTAGGTTCTTCTCCATGGACATGCAGGCTCCATGAGAAAATCTCAGGTATTATTTTGTAGGGTGAGTGAACAGTGTGTTCTTAATCATCTTTCATGGTTATTTGAGGTGTAGGTTGTGGGTGTCTTCCACAGCACTGACTCAGACTTCGATGTTTGGTGTGCAGCACTACTACTTTGCTTATTGTAGTTTTACTTATTGGCTTCTTTGATTTTTAGGAGCCGTAGCACTGAAGAATCTTGAAATAAAAGAAAATGCATTGGTAAGTTAGTGAAAATAAATATAAAACTGTTGGAAAAATGATTCCTGAACAACTTTTTGGGTTGTGCATGCTTTTTTGGTTCTTATTTAAGGATGCATTAAGTGAAAACCTACTGTTCTGTTTTCTCTGCACTTGTGTGGATTCTCTAATTACTTTAATTTGAAATTAAATGTAAAGATGAAGGTGTATGCTGGCTTCATTTAGCTTTGCTTTTGTTTGTTTGTTTGTTTTTCAAAAAACCCTCAGCAATTGCTAAAACAACATGGTTAGCTCAAAAGCAGTACTGAAAGACTTTTTTTCTATGGCTCATGAAGCTAGACACTTGCTCTTGGGAATGTATTTAGCCTAGCATGGCTTAATAGTCTAGGCCAGTAACCAAACACTTGCATGTTCCTTTATATTGAGTGTTTTTTTTCCAGTGGTTAAAAGGTAAATTTGTTGTTACGGTTATCATCATCTTCTTTTCCTATATGGGAACATTTGTTGAAGTGACCTTTAAATGTTCTAAACTACTATCTTTCAGAGTCAGCTGGATGTGCCGTTTAAAGTTAAAGCAGGACATATCAGTAAGTTGCATTTTATCATAAACCCATGCAGGAATTATTAAACATACTACTTTTCCTTGCAAGTGGCTCTAGGCAAACTAAGCAAGTTATTTTCCTAGTTTCCTTGATTTGCATGCTTTGTATGCTCTGAATTTTGACTTTTCTGAAAAAAAATGTTTGAAGAATCTCCTTGTCTTGAGCTGAGGTGGTAAAGTTAAAATATACTGGAGTCTTGTCTAATCACTTCAATATTAATGAGATAAGAACCCAGCATATCAAAGATGAGCAGCTGAGCAGGTCTGGATCTCATACCTTGTCTCAGCAAGACTCCACAAATGATTTTGCCTTCCACTTCGCTTTCAGTCCTCCTCCCCTGTTTTTGTTAATATGGAAAGTTTTCTCATTGCAAGTTGATTGTCCTTAAAAATTAGTATTTTCTTAAAGCAAAGTAAGTCTGAAGCTATTGTGTTTCCCTTAAATCTATCCTGGAAGTAGGTATTTTCCTGTGACTGATTTCATAGCTTACTAAAATTGGAACTTGTGTGAAGAATGAGAAACACTGTAACCACAGGGTTTCCATGTTCACAAAACATACATCTTACTTTAAAGCCTGTCTTCCACAGAAAAATAAAGAAAAATACATATTTTTAAAATGCTGGTTTTAGGAGTACTTAGCTAACTGATTGTGTATGAGCTGCTCATGCTTTTTTGGTTTATGAGGGTGCTGTAGTGGATTTTCAAGGAGAGAGAGGTTGCTGTTAGGAAGAAGGAATATAATTTAAGGGAGTAAGGAGAGGAACCGTAGACTTAATAGTTCTGCTCATAGAAAAACTTGCCTCATGTTCATTTGTGTGGTGTGTAAAACAACCCAAAGAAATGTACCTCGGATGCACAGTTTCTTCTGTTCAATGTAATCACTGTTCAGAGATTTTGTGTCAATTAATGTCACTTATCTTTCTAATCTTTTTTTTTTCCAGTGAACTACTTAACTGTATACCTCAAACTTTTTCTTTTTGTGTTTGTAGGTCAACTTAACCTACAGATACCATGGCAAAACCTTTATACTCAACCTGTTGAGGCAGTTCTTGATGGAGTTTATTTGCTTATTGTGCCCACAGCCAGTAAGTTAATATAAAGAAAAAAGTGACTGTAGACTGTTGGGATTTCAGAAGTATCTGGAATGGCTTGGTATTGTTTTTATGAGCTTTATTCGTAGTATATACTCCTAGCAAATACAGTTAGATAATGTGTATAGGGTGTCTTTAAATTTACTTTCTACACTTAGTCACCTGCTTTTTTGCTATTAACAAAAAGTGGTTTCAAAAGCAGTAATTTTCACATCTTCCAAAAATGTGCAACGTTTTTTTATTATACCTTTTACGTTGTTTATTTAGGCATAAAATATGATGCTGAAAAAGAAGCCAGGCAGCTCTTGGAAGCAAGACAAAGGGAATTGCAAAGGATAGAAGAAGCAAAGCAAAAAATAGCTGACCAAGGTAAGTGGGAAACACTAATGAAAGTGATGCTATTTCTTTCTTAAGTTTAATCCAGAAAGATGCTGGATTTGTCACTTAAAGTGTTTTAGATTCCTGTTTTCCTCTTGATACTTAAAAACCTATTAGTTACAGATTTTCAGGTATAGCTGCCATCAATATTGCAGAACAGGCATCCTGAAAATAGAAACGTTCAAGCATTGATGCGTTCTGTTATTTATAAAGGCTTTTGAAATGTTGCTTGCTTGTGTCATATGTTGCCTGACATTTTCTTTCCTCTTCTTTCATAAGAAACTCTTTAACTTTGTTTAGAGTAGCAAAGAATTTTTATAGTTACACCTTTGTAAAGATTCTGTTTAATTTGTTCTTTGATACATATTAAGTCTTACTGTCTTAAATTCGACTTTTGGTACTTTCAAGAAATATGTATTGGCCATCTTGGGTATCAGTGGGTACAAGTCATAATTTTGAACAACCTGATTCTTGATGTAGCAGATAATAAAGATGAAACTGTCTAGTCTGAGGATATAGATGTTATAGATTATACTGAATGGAAGTGGTTTTTATACAATTAGAGTGCAACATAATAGAAAATGTGAATATCTATCATACAAACTTCATTATGTTATTGTTTTCTCTAGTAGTTTTAAAAATACTTTAATGCAAACAAAATACTAAATGCTTTTCCTTTAACTTAGATAAAGTAAAAGAAGAGAAACAAGACACTTTTGTAGAAAAACTAGTCACTCAGGTTATCAAAAATCTTCAGGTGAAAATTTCCAACATCCATATTCGCTATGAAGATGATGTAAGTACTTTTGTGTACCTCAGCATGAGAGGTTGTGCACTGTAATATAAAATTAGGAACCACTCTTATTTCTTTTCTCCTAGTTGCTTTCCATGTTGAGAGGATCCTATTAAAGTTTTGGAAATTTCAGTCTTTAACAAAAAAAAAGTGAAAACTGAAAAAAGCTTGTACCAAATCATAAAAATATTTAAAGCATATGGTTGTGTACAAAGAACATATAGTTGTCAGATATTTGCTCTATTTTTTTTTATTGTTGGCTATTTATTTCCAAATCTAACTTTAGAGCATAGCATAAGATAATCCTTTTTTTTTTATTTTCCCCCTGCTCTATTAGATCACAAATCGGAATAACCCCTTGTCATTTGGGATTTCACTGCAGAATTTAAGTTTGCAGGTAATTTTACTTTTCATCTAAAAATTGTGATGATACATACTGATAAGTTGTTACATTTTTGTGTATTAGTGTACTGTCTAGTAACATGCTGTCTAATGAAAGTATACCCATAATCGTGAGCAATGTGTTATGGTAACTACTTTGCTTATCAAATCCAGCATAAATACTGTGTCTGGGGGTGCCATTAAAGTGCTAGCATTTAAACAGACCTTTGGGAGGAAGTTCTTACTCTTCTGCCTGCTGCACCAAGTACCAAACTTTGCTGGATCTGAGCTATTCAGAATCTATGAATATTTTACTGAAACTGCTATGAGCCTCAAGAAAGGAAGTTACTACTTGATATTGGGGAGGGAAAAAAAGGGAAAAAAAAAAAAAAGAGGATGGCATCTTGTTTCAAACTGTAGTTCCATTCTTTGATCTGCAAGCTCCACCTTAAAGTGCTAGTAATAGTCATCACAGACTATGAATTTTTTTTCTGGAAGACTACTTAGAAGCAGCAATATGCTGATTCCACTGAGTTGCTCTTATTTGGTAGCTTTTGCTGTGTAACTGATAATCTTGGAGAAAATATGTCTAAGTAAATGTTACGTCCTTAAATGAAACACTTGTCTTATGAATGCTTGTTCCTAGCACATTGAAAGTTTTTTTCCAGCCCCTTGCCCTAAACAGTTTTTCATAGTGAACAGAAGCTTTGGTGTTCTTACTACTGCACTCTTGAAATGCGTATTAGCCTTGAAAAAGTGTAATAGCATATAATGTTTCTGCTGGGCTCAAACTGAAATGCTACTTCCAGAATTATAAAAGAATTCTAGTCCCTTGTTTATTTATTTTCAAAGAGCCTGCCTAAAAATAATACTGGTGTGAAGAGAAACAGTTTTCAATACTGAAAACAGAATTTTAAAGAAGCTTTTGGTTCTTGTGTGCAGCCTACCAGTCACTGCACATACATGTATGTATTTGGTGGGGGTGGGAGTGAAGTAGCCTTACCAAGTTGCCACTTAAAATAATGGCTTAGTCATCTTAAATCAGAAGATGGCATCCCATTATTTTCAGTGTGGTTTAATTATGATGACGTTCCTCTCTCTTTTTTTTTTTTTCCCGAGTTTGTTTCATTGATGATAGAATGTTGGTGTATTATAGATATTGGAATAACTTTCTTTAATTCTCATTTCAGACGTCGGATAAGAATTGGAATCCATGTTTACATGATGAAACTGCAAAGTTGTTCTACAAGGTACAGTATAAACTGTACGCTAAAGAAAGAATTATTAATAAAGCAATATGAATTAGAGTTCCTTCCACAGAAGGTGAAATCAAGAAACCATATGACTGTATAGGCTCTAAAATAAAAGGATGTGTAGTCTGAAAGGAGCATTCTGAATATTTTTATTCATCCAGACTTTGTGAAAACCAAATTATTAATCTAAAATTTCTAGGTATTAATACATGTGTTCTGTTGTATTTTCAGCTTGTACGACTGGATAACCTTTTTGCTTACTGGAATGTGAAATCGGAGATGTTCTACCATGGTGGTTGTGATGAATCGTTGGTAAGTAAAGCATGAGATAATGTATCTAGTATTCTAGCTTATACTGTGAAGCATGGAGCATGCTTCACATTCAGTTCTGCTTTGATTTATGTCAATGTCCTGGAGAATTTTCTTGTTACTAATAGTGTTCTTAGGAAAAATGGTAAATATTAAGATTTTTGTGGTGAAAGTACAACACCCATCTGAGGAAGTTTAAAAAAAAAAAAAAAAAAGGTCCTTTGCCAGTTACAAAATTATACACAAAATATGGTCATCTTCCTGTTCAGTGATTTTGTTAGCTAAAAATAGTAGTCTTACTCTATTTAAAATGTAGATTAATATTTTGGGTTGTACTGTGTATCAGAGGGATTATCTGAAACCTGTATTAAAATGCTAACACTTCATATTTTAAAACTATCATGAAATAAAACTGCAACTTATTTTTAACTCCATTGTGTCTGTAGGTTAACTTAAAACAGGGCATTGCCAGCCACAACGTAGTTCCAGAGGGTTATGATTTTGGTAAGTGGTATTTTATTTTTATTTGTGATACGCATGTATACTTTACTCATTGTTTTTAATGCCTGTCAGAGGTTGCTGCTTTGGCTGTTGTTAAAAAATCTTAGTAAGGAATGCAGTTTAGTTCTTTTGTAGGAATAACTGCCTGACAGTGATTACTGTACCATAGCTGTAGCCATAAAAAGGCTTTGATTAAGATACGAGTCTTGAGTCACGTCTCATTCTAATGGAATGTCATACATAAATCCTCATTGTTGACATCCATTGATACTTCCTTATTTTAAAAAGTTTAGCAATACTATGTGCATCATGTAAATTTTGTGAATAAGATTGGTTTGAGTAACACAGTAACATTTTTGAGGTTACTTGCCATATGTGAAGTGTATCTTTTTTCATTAGAGGTGGAAACAGTAATCACACATCTGAAACATTTTTTTTTTAATGTTGCCATATTGCAAGTTGCATTGCTTTGAGTATTCCTTACATTAGTCTGAAAGTCGCATTGCCTCCACTCAAACGTGGTGATTGTTTACTTTTTCATTGGATGGAAAATACATGTTTTTTATTTCTCATGTGCATCTGTGTGATGGTTTAGTAACTGCTTGCGAGACAGAATGACCTTTGAAGTCGCTTGTTCTCTAGCAAACAAGTCCTCAGTTTGCTATAGCCAGGGTTAAAAAGGGCACTGTTAATTTTATGGGTTTTTCTTGCTGCCTTTGCCTGAAAGAGGACACCTTTTGTATCTCTTTATTTGAGTGCCAGTAATTCTTCTGATTTGTTATCTATCTTTTTCAGTTGCTAGCTTTGACTCTTTTTACAAGAAAATAAGTTTAGACATCATCAGTTGTCTAAAACTTTACATAGAAGTTCAAAATGGTATGCAATATGTCAGGATTCAGGATTTACACTTAAAATTTAGAATTGCCATCAGAGATGCAGATAGTTAAAGAATTACATCATGCTGATACTCTGTGGTAAATTCTGGCTCTTTTGGAGCAACTCTTTAGATTTGGGACATTGTTAGAAAGGTAGTAAGCACAAAGTCTGCTTCTGTCATTTGCTCTAAATGCAAGCATAATACTTACACATAGTTCAGGAAAATAAAATTTAGGAAGCTAAATACAGGGAGAAAATTAAATAAATGCTACCACATAAAATGTGTAGATAAAAGTAAAATAAGCTTCACAAGAAATACAGGGCTTAAAATGAAACAAAGATAAATTAATGTAAATATTGTTACACCTTGCAAAAATGCCTATTTCCACTTGAATGAACCTCTCAGTGAATTTAGAATATTTGGTATGCAGATGGTAAATCAGGATTTCTGTTGAAATCAAAGGAACTTCATTTAATAAAAATATGATTTATTCAAATTCAAGTAATACACAAATTCTTATTGTTGGATCAATTGCTGAAATAGATGGAAAAATTGCACGAAATATGGCTTCTGAAGGCTATATCGAATGCCTGATATTGCCAAATTGTGGAACAGTTAAAACATTTCTGCTCTGAACATTTCTCATGTCATGTGCTCTGTTTTATGTAGGATCCATATTGACTTTTTTCCATGCTTACTTGGGCTTGGATATAGAAATGTAGAATGTTTGGTTTTATCCACTGTTGTGAGTATAATTTATCAAACAGTGTGAAAAATCAGCAACATTAAAAAAAATCCTTAGGGAAGAAGGATTATTATAGTGAAATAAATGCTTGGTTTGAAACTGTCTTGTCCTACAAATAGCTTATAGCCAAAAAAGTTAGATTTGTTGCAAATATAAACTATTAATTGAAATACCTGCCATGCAATATTGCATACAGGAAATTTTTTGAAAATGTTCCACAAATGTTGCCAGAATGAAACTAGAAATTCAGTATAGATTGTATTATATTTTAAGCTGTGTTCATGAAGTCTTCATGTTTTGAAGTTGATCATTTTTAAATGAATAATCTGGCATAACTTGAGCTGATAAGTATCATGTATCATTTATAGCTGTCTTAAATAATTTAATTGTTCTTTTTCTATCAACTTCTGGTTTTTAGTATTCCGCCCAATTTCAGCTAGAGCCAAACTCCTTATGAATCCTCGATCTGATGTTGACTTTTCATCACCGAAAATGGATTTAGATGTAAATTTACAGGATATAACTGTTGAATTCAATAAGCCACAGGTATAAACTACTTTTCTGAAGTTATATATAATGTGGTAAAAAAGTTAGTTTGCAAGAATAGTAAGAAAAGCAGTCTGAAATTTTGTAATAAACATGCAGAATTGATACACTTTATAGTCTTGTTTTTCTTTGTAAGTTATTTTCTCTTTAAACAGAAGCTTGATTCACGTTCTCAGAAAGACAATAACACTCAGTTTGAATTTTTTTTTTTTTTTTTTTTTTAGTATTTCAGTGTAATGGAGCTTCTTGAGTCTATTGATATGATGACGCGAAATCTGCCATACAGGAAGTACAGACCTGATGTTCCATTGCACAACAATGCCAAGACGTGGTAGGCTACCTCAGACTTTGAAAATAGCTTGTTAGTTATTAATTTGCAATGATTACCAAGGGATTGTTTCTTACTTAAGGAGATTAGAGCTCATTTAACTCATTTCCTTCTGAAAAAAAGTCTTCTCTTGTGGTATTTTTTGTTTTTCTTAAACTAGAAGTAATTAAAAAACATTGGTGAGGACTTCAAACCTAAGGTAAGGACACAATATTTTATAACCTGCATTTGCTATCTTAAAGACCATTATTGGAAACTTAAGTCTGATAGTATTTTAGTATCCTAACTTTCTTTCAATGAAGGAGACCCAGTTACATGTTAGGTACTATTACAAGAACATAGCAATTATCTAAAATAGGCAAATCTTTTCAACATGGATGGCAGATACTTGATTTCTTTTCAGAAGATTCCTTCCAGATACGTTTTGATTATTCACACGCATATATATATATATTTGTGGACATTTTAATACAAGATTACTTTTTAATTTTATGAAATAGCAACTTGTCAACTTCGTGTGGAAAAAAGTAAAATCCTTAGGGTTCCTCTACTGATCAGAAGTGTGATATTAGACAAGGGATTTCACTCTTTCATGACTTGAAGTTGTATTTAGTGGGGATCTGCATCGCTTTAGGTGTCTTTTCAGTATACCAAAATAAATGTAAACTGTACTTAATTTGTATTTGTTTTTAGGTGGAAATATGTTATTTATGGCATCCTTGAAGTAAATGTTCAACCTAAGCTCCAAATGTGGTCATGGGAACATATTCGGCACCATAGGAAACAAGTGAAGAACTATAAAGAGATGTATAAAACAAAGATAACGTCAAAAAAACCTAATGAAGAAATCTTAAAATTGTTAGAGGTTAGCCGTTTTCCATTAGAGTCTTAAATATTGTTCATCTTGCTATTTTCTTAAATTTTAATGTTTGTATGTTCTTAAGTTAGTACTAAGTTAAAATAACTTGGCCAGACTTGCAACTTCATCAGGTACCTTTCTCTGTGAGTAGTAGTAACAAACAGATAGTTTTTTAAATTAGTAACTGCAGTGAAGAAAAACTTAAACTGATGCTTTTCTTTTCCAGGCTTATTTTAAGTTTTCAGCTTAAGCAAATTTACTCGAGTTGCACTGAAAGAGTTGTTTAGTGTCATTTCCTGTAAAACTGAGCTGTGAAATCTAACTAAATGCGATTGTCAAAAAATAATTTCTCTCCTCCTTTCTAGGAATTCGAAAAGGCCTTGGATATTTTTAACATCACTCTAGCAAGGCAACAAGCAGAAGTTGAGGTAAAATTTCATCATTTAAGCGAGTCTAAGAATAACTGCAACATGAGGTTTTGGAGATCTTAGGCAGGTGAATTTTAGTCCTAGTGGTTGAATTGTGCATCATAACAGTCTTGCTATTTTCCTTGTATTTCACATTTGTTATTATAAGGCATAGTTAGTTTCAGTTTGTAATTAAGCAAAAATTAAATAGCTCCATGTACTGCTTCTTCAGAATAACTGATCAGGGATAAATTTTTCTTTCTACTTCTGGTGAGGAAGATCTACTGTGGAAAACATGATCAAAGGATGATAGCATAAGTCAAGTTGGAAGTCATTATACCCCAAAGCTTCAGGCTTTTACGTGCCCCCCCCCCCCCCCTTAGTTTTTTCTTTTCCTTCCTGATATGCTATCATGTAGGCTGAACACCTGTATTGTAGTATGTTGACTTTTTGTTACTATTTGCAAGTGTTATTTGGAATATGGCAAATGCAGAACACATTTAAGTAGATAATCACAGGCGAGATAACGTGACTTGACTAGTTACACTTAATTTGTTAGCCTTTTTTTTCCTAGGTTAGTGTACTTCTGAGTTTTCAGTGTAGTATCTGCGCATCATTCCAGGAAACTGAAGTGAAATCTGTATAGGTTTTCTGAAATCTGTGAGGTGATCTTAATAATCAATGTGACAAAAAGTAATCAGAATCTGAAGTTTAGAATACGAAATAATGTATTGACAATTAAACTTCATGAACATCAGCCATTTCTCACAGCAGTGCTTGAAAGGATTTTTTTTTTTTTTGTTTGTGGAGTGTATTAACTATGGTGTGAACACAGTTGCTGCAGTGATAGATATGGTACTTCTAAACCAAAACTCTGAACAGGAATCCATAAATGTGTTTTGTTTTTTCTCCTAGTTGTCTGTATGTACATCCACATTTGGATGCTTGTATGATTGTTATTCAGACTTACAGAATCAGAAGACACGTTCATGTTCGTCCCCTTTAGTTGTTTGGGTGAATTGGAGTGCTTTTCACAAGAAGGGTTTTTTGTTTTGTTTTAGTGCTCCTTTGGCATGTATCTTGTACCATATAGTTTCTTTCAGTTTTATCTTTTTCATCCTATTTTTTGCAAGGTGAGGGAGATCCCAACGAATTTCCTATCTAGTTTTATTCTTATTTTCTCTAGTGTGATCATGCTGCTTACAAAAGGTTATGTCATACTGCATTCCTGACCACCTCCCAGTCCTGAGTTTTAAGATAGGTTTCTGTAGTGCTTATAAGTAGGTTGCAAGCAAATGAATTTTCATTTGTTTGGGCTTTAAGCCTTGCATTTGAAAAGTGTTAGAAAATCATCTTGAAAGACCTGATAGCTAGCTCTCTGAATTTATTTCCAAGTAGTGAAAATCAGGTCACAGTGATTATAGACTGTGTTCTACCTCCATCTATCTGTCAGAACCCATCTGTCTTACTATCAGGTCGTGCCTCTGAAAAAGGTCTCAAAGGACTTGTAAGAGGCAAATCTACTACTATCTTGGTATCTTGACGGAATTTAAAGGAGCAGCCTTTAGATGTGGGCTGAGTAAAGCCGCATAAAGGACTCTACTATTTGTTAAGCTTTTTACTTTTTAAAAACATACCTGAAGAGCTTAATTTCAAGGGCTTGCTTTTCTCTAGACCTTGAAATCGAGTTCCCCAGAACTCACATTTGTAAACACAGTATCATCTGATTTTTTTGGAACTTTGTAGAAAGAACTTTATATTCCAAAGCTTAGGCCACTTTTTAATCTGTATCACTAGTGCCCTAAGTACCAAACACCAGCTTCAGTGAGCCAAACATTAAGTCTTTGTGTCAGATAGCTTGAGAAATTTTGTGGTTTCAATCTAGGGAAGACTTTCTAGACAATTCACTTAAGTCAGAACACAGGATGATGCTCTTGATTCTTCCTGTCTTTTAGTCAAAACAGTTTACCTTGCTGAGTAATCTTCCCACAGACGATGACTGTATTCATTACTAAACCATTGTAAATAGAGGACGGAGAAAGCTCAAGAGGATTTCTTAAGGAAGTTTCTTTAATTCTCATACTGCACAAATATTTTCTTCATCCTTGCAGAAGTGCAGTTCCACTTCTTTCTGTCTGTAGCTTTTCTTACCTTGGACTCTGGTGCCACCTGCTGCTTCAGACATCTTGAGAATCATAGCTTTAAGCATCACTTCCTTTTCTCCATGGCAGTTGTCCCTCAAAACCAACTCCTTGGTGTCCGAGAAACGTCTAATTTCAGAGGTTTAACAGCCTTTTTTTCTAAGGCTCTGTCCTTTCTTTCCTTGGACCATTAGCTCTGTGATATCTGCTTGATGACTTGGTAGCCTTAATAAAGAGGACTTTGGAAGATTTTGTTCAAAACTTTTTGAGGTCTTATGTTGTTTATCTGACATGCTGCATCATCTCTCTGAGGTGAATCAATAGGATCAGTTCAGAAGCCTTTATGTTTTTGTGGTGAGTCCTGCATTCTGTTGGCCTGTAGGTGGATAGTTGTGACAAGTCCATAAAAAGTTCTGATTTATAGCCAGCTGTTTTCCCTAATTGTGTTGCAGAGAGATCTTGGGTTTTCTGAATGCTGAGAGTGGATCCCTGGCTCACTCACTTTGGGTATCACATTTACTAGAGCATTTCTAATTTCAGGGCTTATCTGCAAGTGTTTATATCTTTTCAGATCGTGTTAGTCATGAAGAAATATAATTAGTTTATGTGGTCCTCTAGAGTTTTGAGAACTCCTCTGTCTCTTAGATCACTTGACATTCATTTGTCATCCCTTGTGCTAAACTTTCAAGTCTGGATGTAGTTTGCACTTTCTGTGAGGACCCAATATTGGAATCGTCATTGGCATCAGACAGGACATGCCCCAGATGTTGAAATAATGAATGTGGGAGAAGGGAGGGCTTCCTTACTGTTAATAGTTAGACGTATCAGATCCAGGAATAGCTTTCTATATTCCTTAGAGTAAATATTTTATTACGAGAGTAATGATTTTTTTACTATTGCTTTGGACATTTGTCTTGAAATGAAAAATATAGGGATAATTTAAGATTTGGCCTGTGCTGGCTATTTAGGGGAAAATCTGCTGTGTAAGAAACATTTATTGACTTAAAATCAACAACCTTTTGCTTGCTCTTCTTGTTCAGAAAGGTGATTGATTTTATGCAGTTGAGAATTGGTCTGATGCACTGTGTACTTGAAAAAGTTATTAAAGAAAAACTAAAAAATACCAAGTTGCCTCTTCAATAGTTGTCTAATGATGCTTTGATGTGTTGGAGTGTGTCTTGGGTCTCTATTTTTCTTATGTAAATGAAGAAAGAAGCATGAAGAAAATTACTTTTTTGAGTATTTTTTTTAAATTTCAGGCAACTAAAGCTGGATTAAAAATCTACAGACCAGGAGTAAAACAAGATGATGAAAATTCTGGTGGCTGGTTTAGTTGGATATGGAGCTGGTCAGGTGAAAAAAAGGATGAACAAAAACAAGAAGTAAAGGGTTCAAGTATGTTAATTTGTTGGGTTTTTTTCCTATTATTAAAAATTACTTATTAGAATAATAGGTCCCTAGCAATGGAACTTTGGATTTGCTTAGGCTATCGGATTATTGACGTTCACATTTTCTCTTAGCCTTTTTTTTGCTGATGAAGTTGTGCTAGAAAACAATAGCAGTTACTGGAATGTAAACAATTTTACTTCTGTTTATTTTGTAATTTGGCTATTTCATGCAGTGTATTAGAGTTTGATTCACTTAAGTACAGGGCACCTAGTAAAGGTTGTGGAACATGGAAGTAAATCAAAAAGGTTGTTTCTATAGTTAGCAAGCTAGGAAATAGAGTAGGTCAGAATAAAAGTATAACTGCATTTTAAAGCACGATTTAAGAGACTCAAGTCTTTGCTTTGAACCTCAGGGTTTTTGCTTTTACTAATTCAGGACAATGTTAATAGTATCTACTGTACGTTATAGGGCTGCCAGGCACTGGAAAGTGTATAACAGTATTTGCATTTTTCAGATACCTATACTGAGTTTAACTAACCTCTTGCAATGTGACAGGTCTTGAAGAGTTGATGACACCTGAAGAGAAGGCTAAACTTTATGCAGCAATTGGATACAGTGAAACAGCTGTGGATCCAACACTTCCAAAATCGGTAAGTCATAAGAGATAATGATACCAAACAATTGGTAGCTTTATCTACTAACAAAAATCTATAGATGATAGGAAATCACTTCTAAAATTAGTTGAAGCTCTATCTCTCTATTTGAATAATGTTCTGACACCTCTTAATTAAGTTACTGCACGCTGGCTTTGTGCAGAGCGGAGCATCCTTAGATGTACTTCCAAGCAGGTGGTTACAGAGCTTATTTTGGATACTCTGAAAAAGTTCAGAATGAAATTTTGCTTGCTCAAGCTCGAATAAAATCATGTAAGTAGTGTATTGTGTAAATTATGGAATGCTTCATATATCCTTTTACAATACTCAGAAGTTTTTTTAAGAAGGTGCACTAACTGATTCACTGGAATCTTAAATATTGTTTGAGTGATAGTAGACGAGGTAGTTGAGTACGTAAGGAAAGAGGTGATTGAAGGACTGTAGTGGGGAGAAGCAAAATTTTTGAGCCATTGAGAAATAGTCTGATAAGTTATCTTTATGTGAGGTACCGTGCACAGTACAATGGACTACCTTTCAACTCTGTGTTAGAGGCCTTTTATCTCAAAATGTGGTGTAGTAACATCAAAGACATATGTTTGTAAGCATAGTCTACTCTTACTCTAACCCTGTCTCTTCATAATAACTATTTGGGAATGACTTTTAACAGCAGCTATGATACAAGCTATTTATAGCACTAGAAAAATAGTATTAAACTGGTATTTGTGCTTTTATCTCTTTGTAAATGGTACTGAAATGTACACTATGTATTTTATAATACACTTGTTTTTCCTGCATATCTAGTATGAAGCCATGAAGTTCTCTGTGAAGTTACTAAGCATGTCTATATCAATAAGAGAAAACAAGCAAACTCCTGAGCTGGTAGAATTTGCATTAACTGGCTTGAGTACAGTATTTACCCAACGACCAGGTGCACAAGCAATAAGGTGAACTTTCTCTATCAAACCGATTTTGTTCCTCATGAACTGTTGATGACAGCTAATAGGCATTTTAAGGCTCTGTTATGATGTTCCATTTTTCACCAGCATTTCTTGTGCAGTTTGGGAGCAGAATCATCCTGCAGCTGATGGACAAAATGAATGAATACTGTTTCCGTGATTAAGTTCTCTCCATCTTCAGAATTGTTTGTTCCAATACAGATTTTCTCCTTTATTTCAGTTTTCATCGTTATGTTACAAGCAATCCGGTTATGAACTTGTTTCTTGCTTTGAAAAGTGACTGTTACTGCTTTTGAAATTTAATCTGAGCAAGTTGATCTCATAACTGCTTGTGTGTAGGTATTTAACATGACTGAAAAGTTATTGACTAACATGACTGACAGTTTCAGTTGAGCTTTCAGCTTTGCAGAAGAAAGCCATCTGTAATGATGATTTTGGCTTGGTTTTGTTCTCTCAACAGTAGGTGATGAAAAGCAGTGATAGGAAATACTTTATTTTCATTTCAAATGTAACAACAGAAATTCTGGGAGAGGGTAGCCTTCCTGTTTTAGACCTTGTGCCCTCTACTTTGGGGCTTATTAGTATAATCTGTGTATGATATTAAGATACTATTGATTTTGCTGCGTTTTATGCATAGGGTTTTTTTTTAAGTTTTGCTTGCAGCTTTTCTGTTTGTACTCCTGTGCAATTGAATGGCCTTAATAATGCTATCATACTGAGAAGAAGGGAAAAAATGTTACATTTTTACGGTGAAACACTTTCCTAAGAGTGTTGGGAGGTAATGATTTTCAACTGAGAGCTGTTAAAGAGGTGGACAGGGTATTGGGGAAAAAACAAACCACCAACACACACCTAAAAAAATACTGCCTCAGATTACTGAGGCTGTTAATCTGGTGCTTCTCTTGTGGTGTTTCTTTTATTTCTCTGCACTGGAACCCTTCCCTCTCTGCTGTATCTCTGCTCCCCGATACAAACTGTGTTATCTAATTCATGAGCTCATACTACAGAATTCCCGTTTGTATGTCTCTTTCCTGCCTTGACACTTGTCCTCATGAAAAGTGTATGAAGTGAATAACTTGGACCCCCTTTCTTACTTACTCAAGGGTGGCTAATAGACACAAAATACCATGAAATGGAAAACAGTTAACACATGGATATACATGTTATATCCTTAGACTAAGCTATTTATACTTGAGGTAGGGCAGAGAGATGTTGCTGCTGTTGTTTTGTTTGTTTTTTGGTTTTGGTGTGTTTTTTTTCTTTCAGTCATTCCTTATATTCTTGCCATCTAATTTTATCAAGCCAGATGGATATTACATCTGAACATGCTGTTTACCTTTCTTTACAGATTTGAAACCAAAATTACCTCACTTGAAGTTACAGGCATGTCCCGAGAAAAATGTACACCCCGTCTCCTATCTTCTCGAACGGTCTACACGGACAAGAGTACCTCACTCCTAAGCATAATGTTTGAGACTAATCCTTTGGATGAGAAAGCAGATCAGAGGCTTAGAATAGAATCACAGCCACTGGAAATAGTATATGATGCAGTAAGTAAATATTTTAATAAGTTATAAATCCTGAAAAATGTTACTTAATAGTAAATTTGCTATGAATTATTTTTGCTTTATTTTAATAGATGACAATAAATAGCTTAGTGGATTTCTTCAGGCCTCCGAAAGATGTACATTTAGAGCAATTGACATCAGCAACTCTGATGAAGCTTGAAGAGTTCCGTGAAAAAACATCAACAGGCAAGTGCTGCATGCTCTTCTTATTGCACTCAGACAATTTTTAGATTCTAGGAGTATGAAAATACTATCTTTCCATATGGAGACGCATAGATCCAAGTCATAGCTTTCTAACACAAGACTTAAATAAGATGAATTCTTCAATCTCATCTCATTACAAAGCATTTGTTCTAGGTATTGGATAATTTTATGTCTGTATCTTTTTCAACTTCAACTTTCTGTGTAAAATATGCTCCACACCCTGAGATAGTATTTCACTATTTATTCTGTTGTACTCCATACAGGCTTAAAAATAATTTGTTACTTCCAGCTTTTCTGGTTTGTTCATCTGAGTATCTAAATGGCCTTAATTGTTTCATGTTCTTTAAAAACTGATACTGAGATACTGGTCCTGTAATGAAACCCCTAAATCCTTTCCAGAGACTTTTCTCTTCAGGACACTATGTGCCTTTGTATAGGTGTGTTCTACTTTCTTTATTCCTCGATGAATGTGGGTTTTGATCTGGATTGATTCAGATCAAGTCATATAAACTATATTTGTCTGTCTTCCAGTTACTCAGCATTAAAGCCATTCCTCTAGTTTTCATTTTAACCTAATCTTTTAAGAATAACACTGAGATTTTTGGAATTAACTTGTTCCAGTAAGGGTGTCTGAGACTTTCTGTATCAGAGGTGTGTCTAGCGCAGTGTCCTGTCTCTGACTGTGGATGGGAGAGGATGCTAGGGGGAGATTTCATATATAAATTCTTTTTAAAAGGGGAAAAAAAAAAAAAAATTTTTAAACCTCACTTAAATTGGTAACGTACTAAGGTATAAATTGTACCTTTAAAAAATTTGAATACTCAGTCATAATATGGGGAAGAAATTACAGAAAACTCAAGCATAATGTATTTTTAATTGATTGCTTTTATCAAGCTGGTAGCAGGAATTAAATCAGGTATCTATTATATTTCTATTCATTAGTTGTTCTTTGACCTGTTTAATTAAGGATTAATGTCAGATTAACCAGTCAAAGTTAGGTATATAACTTCTTGTCTTTTCTGTCAAACTTCTACAGCAATACTGAATATGTTGATACCACAGTTCATTCCTGAGACTAATTTTATAAAAATTTTATTAGATTCAATATGTTTGGTTCTCTGCTCATTACCACCGAATACTCTGTTTCTGATCATGATTCATTTTTGGTGGAAATATGAACTCATTCTATATGTCTATTACAATTTAGGCATAGCATTACTTTAGAAGTATATCCAGTGACTCTTAACCTTCACAAGAATGCTGAGTTGCCCACATTCTAAAAGCTTGTTCCACTCACAAATGAGAAGCCTGATGAAAACCTCTAACAATATGCTGTGCATTGCTTGGAAAATCTTGGCTGAGACTTACAAAAGTACCAGGTGAAGAAGATTTGATCTGCAGAATGTTCTGTTGCAGGGGACTACACTAATCTCAGAGGTAGAATAAAAAACCTCAAATTATATCAACATAATAAATATGTTCAGACTTGCAGTTCTTTCTCAGGGAAGAATTCTTAACACTTTTCTTCTACGCAGTAGAAGATAGCTGGAAAATACTGGGGAACTGTGAACTGCAGAAGTGAAGGAATTTGCTACACCAAAATGGTTATGATTTTCAGCACCATAAAAGACATTACAAAAGCTTAGTTTCCGAGAGTTCAATTTATGGACTCAGTTATGTTCCCTTCCCAAATTTAGAAAAAAAGAAGGTATTTTCTTGAACTTTCTACATCACTCCAATACAGTTAGGCATTGAAAACTGAAAAAAATCTTTTTATTAATCCAAGGTATTTTAACTTGCAAATCCTGATATGTGGTTGCCATCCAGTTCCTCACTGGCTAATCTAGCGCTCTAGTGGCAGCACAACCTTTGATAATGTTGGAACAGTTTTAATTGCTTTCTTACCAATGTGACTGTGCTACAGTGTCATGTTGTCATCTTCATAATTTGTTATCTCTACTTCTGTGATCATCAGCTCATTGCATCTGTAAATATTTCATGAGCTGTGGCTGCATCCTAAGGCAGTTGTCAATGCTAATGTGAAGCAAGACCATTAATTCCTTTTCAGATGAGCAAAAACCAGAATTTGATCTCAAATGTTCTGACAGTCTGAATTTCCCAACTAATTGCATGATTTTTAAACAGAATTGTTGTAAGACCTTATATTTGCTAATCTTCAGCATCTCAAGATGGAGATGCTTGTCAGCAGAATCGGTGTAAACTTCAGTATCGCAATAGTTAAAACAGTACCAGTTTGGCCAGTGCAGTTGGATACTCCCAATAAGAACTTCTAGAACAATTAAATTTCTGAATCTACAGACCACAATAGGTTAACCCAGCAATCGCCAAGTTACAGTACGCATTCCAGTTCTTCACACTTCATCTCTGGTCAGTATGAAATTTTTTTTTTGGACATGCATGCATCATGTTACTGTCTCTACTTGTCCATTAGCATTGTTAGCTACCATGAGTTCATCTACTTGGTGCTTCTTTAAAGGCTGTCTATTGCTATTGGTACAGAAGAAATCTGAAGAGCATTTGTACCTGCAATTAAACTTAGCTAGTATTCACAGCTCGTTTAAAGTTAGACATGAATTTCCTTTTATACCTTCTTTTAATTCCTTTGCTTTTGTATGGATTACTTGGTTTATATTTACAAATTATATTATTTTTCAGGATTGTTGTATGTTATTGAAACCCAGAAAGTTCTTGACCTCAAAATTAACCTCATGGCTTCATACATCATTGTTCCACAAAAAGGATTCTATGACAGTACGTCAAACTTAATACTTCTGGATCTTGGTAGTCTTAAGGTATGTATTTACCTAATGAAGTAACTTACTGAAAATGATAATTTGGCTTTTATGTGATTTCCAGTTTCTTAATTGGAATTTTATGGTACTAGTTAAGTAAAAGTTCCTCTTGCAGTTTTTGTATTAGGTATTTATTTTAAACTGCTTTCCAGTCAAGGCAGAAATTATTGAGCTCTTCTCAGTAGATTCTTTCAACCCATAAGAATTGTTAGAAAATAATCCTCCTGTGGAATGAAACCACTGTTGATGCTTTGAATTGATATGTGGAAAATGTCTAACAATTTTTTTTACCTTAGAATAGTAAACTTACATGATTAGATAGTCTTCTTATTTTTAATATTGCTATTATTCTTGTTATCAATTACCTTTCAGTCATTAGAATCATAGGGTCATTTACGTTGGAAAAGACCTTTAAGATCATCGAGTCCAACCATTAGCCTAGCACTGCCAAGTCCACCACTAAACCAGGTCCCTAAGTGCCACAACTTCATGTCTTTTAAATACCTCCAGGGATGGTGACTCTACCACTTCCCTAGGCAGCCTGTTCCAATGCTTGCCAACCCTGTCATGGAAGAAATTTTTCCTGATTTCCAATCCAAACCTCCCCTGGCCCAACTTGAGGCCATTTCATCTTGTCCTATTGCTTGTTACATGGGAGAAGAGATTGACACCCACCTTGCTACAACCTGCTTTCAGGCAGTTGTAGAGAACAATAAGGTCTTCCCTCAACTACCTTTTCTCCAGACTGAACAAACCCAGTTCCCTTAGCCACTCCTCATAAGACTTGTGTTGTAGACCCTTCACCAGCTTCGTTGCCCTTCTTTGGACACGCTCCAGCAACTCAATGTCTTTCTTGTAGTGAGAGCCCCAAAGCTGAACACAGTATTCAAGGTGAGGCCTCACCAGTGCCAAGTAGAGGGGCACAATCACTTCCCTACTCCTGCTGGCCACACTATTTCTGATAGAGGCCAGGATGCTGTTGGCCTTCTTGGCCACCTGGGCACACTGCCGGCTCATGTTCAGCTGACTGTCAACCAGCATCCCCAGGTCCTTGTCCTCGGGGCAGCTTTCCAGCTACTTTACCCCAAGCCTGTAGTGTTGCATGGGGTTGTTGTGACCCAGGTGCAGGACCCAGCACTTGGCCGTGTTGAACCTCATACAGTTGGCCTTGGCCCATCGATCCAGCCTGTCCAGATCCCTCTGCAGAGCCTTCCTGCCCTCCAGCAGATCAACACTCCCGCCCAGCTTGGTATAATTTGCAAACTTACTGAGTGTGCACTTGACCCCCTTGTCCAGTTCATTGATACATACTATAAAGAAACTGGCCCAAATACTGAGCCCTGGGATACACCTGGCTGCCAACTGGATTTAACTCTGTTCACCACAATTTTTTGGGCTTGGCCATCCAGCTTTTTTCTACCCAGTGAAGAGTATGCCTGTCCAAGCCATGAACAGCCAGAATGCTGTGGGAGATGGTGTCAAGGGCTTTACTAAAGTCCAGGTAGACAACATCCACAGCCTTTCCCTCATCCCCTAGGTGGGTCACTTTGTCATAGGAGCAGATCAGGTTAGTCAGTCAGGACCTACCTTTCATAAATCCATGCTGATTCAGCCTGCTCACCTGGTTGTCCTGAATGTGTTGCATGATAACATTCAAGATGATCTGCTTCATAACCTTCCCTGGCACTGAGGTCAGGCTGACAGGCCTGTAGTTCCCTGGATACTACTTCCAGTCCTTCTGGTAGATGGGCGTCACTGTTGCTAACTTGCAGTCAACTGGGACCTCCCCTGTTAGCCAGGACTGATGATAAATGACTGAAAGTGGCTTGGTGAGCACTTCTGCCAGCTCCCTCAGTACTTCTGGGTGGATCTCATCTGGCCTCATAGACTTGCATGTGTCTAAATGGTATAGCAGGTCACTAACCATTTCCCCTTGGATTATGGGGGCTTTATTCTGCTCCCTGTCTTCCAGCTCAGCAGGCTGGGTACCTGGAGAACTTGCTCTTAAGGACCGAGGCAAAGAATGCATAAAGTACCTCAGCCTTTTTCTCATCCTGTGTCATTATGTTTCCCCGCTGCATCCAGTAAAGGATAGATTTTCTCATTAGCCCTCCTTTTATTGATAATGTATTTATAGAAACATTTTTTTATTGTCTTTTTTGGCAGTAGCCAGATTAAGTTCTAGTTGGTCTAGCTTTGGCCCTTCTCATTTTCTCTCTGTAACCTCATAACATCCTTGTAGTCCTGAGTTGCCTGCCCCTTCTTCCAAAGGCCATAGCTCTCCTTTTTTTTTTTTTTTTTCTGGAGTTCCAGCCAAAGCTCTCTGTTCAGCTAGGCCAGTCTTCTTCCCTGCCAGCTTTTGGAACATGGGGACGGCCTGCTCCTGCAACTCTTAAGATTTCCTTCTTGAAGAATGTCTCCTTCCTGGACTCCTTTTCCATTCAGGACTGTCTCCCAAGGGACTCTGTCAACCAGTGTCCTAAACAGGCCGAAGTCTGCCCTCTGGTAGTCAAAGGTAGCGGTTCTGCTGAGCCCCCTCTTTCTCCAAGAACTGGAAACTTTATCATTTTGTGATCGCTCTGCCCAAGACAGCCTCCAACCGTCGTATTGCCCATAAAGTCCTTCTCTGTTCACAAGTAACAGGTCCAGCGGGGTGCCTTCCCTAGCTGGCTCACTCACCAGCTGTGTCAGGAAGTTTTCTTCCACACACTCCAGGAACCTCCTAGACTGTTTCCTCATTCCTGTATGTCTAGCAGACATCTGGTAAGTTGAAGTCCCCCATGAGAACAAGGGCTAGCGACTTCTCTTAGCTACTTACATAATATTGTGTCTGCCTGTTCATCCTGATCGGGTGGTTTATAACAGACTCCCAGCACGATATCTGCCTTGTTGGCCTTCCCCCAATTCATACCCATAAACACTCAACATTATTGTCAACATCATTAAGCTCTAGACAATCAAAACTCTCCCTAACACACAGGGCTACCCCACCACCTCTGCTTCCTTGCCTATCCCTTCTGAAGAGTTTATAGCCATCTATTGTAGCACTCCAGCTGTGCGAGTCATGGCACCATGTTTCTGTGATGGCAACTATATAATAATAGTTTTCCTGCTGCACAGTGGTTTCCAGCTGCTCCTGTTTGTTGCCTATGCTGCATGCTTTGGTGTAGGTACACTGCAGTTCATCCCACCACCTTTTGCAGGGGAGAAGCCCTAATTCCTATGTGGCGGTTTTCAGGTGCTTCTGTGGTTTCTAACACATCAATAACCCTTGAGTCTTTGCTGCCATATGGATCTCCATACTCTACCTCCACCGAGACAGCAGACCAAAGGATCTTGCTAGTACACTGTCCTTCAGACATTGGCATGCCACCTCCAGGCTTACCTCTAGCAAGCCTGGTTTATGTCTTTCCCCCTTTGGATCTAGTTTAAAGCACTTCCAATGAGCCCTGCTAACTCTTTTACAAAGATCCTTTTCACCTTTTGATACAGGTGTACCCCGTCTGTTGCCAGCAGGCCTGGTGTTATGTAAAGAGACCCACGATGAAAAAGCCCCAAATACTGCTGGTGACACCAGGCTTGGTGCCAGGTGTTGATCTGCTGGCTCTTCCTGTTTCTTTCCTCATCATTCCTGGCAACTGGAAGGATAGAGGGGAACATTATTTGTGCCCCTGATCCCTTGACCGGTTGTCCCAAGGCCCTGAAGTCTCTCTTGATTGCCCTCGGGCTTCTTGTTGCAGCTCTGTCACTGACTATCTGAAGAATTATTCAGTTTAATTTAAAATGAGAAAAGTAAACATATTGGCAATTCATAAAATAAGTTGGATAAAATTAGAGATATGTTTGAGATACTTCATGCAAGGGAAGAGTCAAAAAGGTAGTTCGATGTATTGAAAGTTACAGTTTATCCCTATAAAGAAGAGACTGTTTCTACATATGATCAATCTTCTTACTCGTTGGTGAACTTGTGTTCTTTCAGGACAAATTATCTTATGTGTATACAGGCAATTTAGTGGTTTTTTTTTACTTGCACTCTGGATAAGAATGATTCTGCCACTTACTATTTGTTTAGATTGCCTTACCTGCTTTTTTAATAACAAAATGTTTCATTTTAGCAAGACTGTAAGCTTTGAAGTAAGTTTTCTGTCTCTGCCACAGACTGACTTTCTGAGCATGTGGGTTTCAGTTAGAATCATAAAATATTTTGTGTTGGAAGGGACCTTCAAAGGTCATCTAGTCCATCCCCGCTGTAATGAGCAGGGACATCTTTAACTAGATCAGGTTGCTCAAAGCTCCATCACCCTGACACTGAATTTTTACAGGGATGGGGCATCTACCACCTCTCTGGGCAACCTGTGCCAGTGATTCACCACCCTCATTGTGAACAATTTCTTGCCTCTATCCAATCTAAATCTGCCCTCTTTTAGTTTAAACCCATTCCCCCTTGTGCTGTCGCTACAGGCCCTGCCGAGAAGACTGTCGCCATCTTTCTCATAACCCCCTTAAGTACTGAAAGGCCACAATAAGGTCTCCCCAGAGCCTTCTCTTCTCCAGGCTGAACAACCCCAACTCTCTCAGCCTGTCCTCATAGGAGAGGTGTTCCATATCTCTGATGATTTTGGTGGCCCTCCTCTGGACCCTCTCCAAGAGGTCCATGTCTTTCCTGTGCTGAGGGCTCCAGAGCTGGAGGCAGTACTGCAGGTGGGATCTTGATGAGAGGCAGAATCACCTCCCTCAACCAGCTGGCCTTTTGATGCAGCCCAGGATACGGTTTGCCTTCTGGGTTGTGAACGCATATTGGGGGCTCATGTCCAGCTTTTCATCTACCAGTACTCTCAAGTCCTTGTCAGCAGGGCTGCTTTCAACCTGTATTGATACTGGGGGCTGCCACGACCCAGATGTAGGACCTTATACTTAGCCTTGTTGAAAAAGAATGTACGAGGTGCTCCAGAAAGTGGAATTAGTGAAAAACATTGCTGTGTAGATACTAAAAATAATTTGGATTTACAACCAGGTCACATATTTCAGTGACTAATAATTTTACCAGCTCTTCTGAATGCTCATCATTTACAGGCACTTTGTAGAGTTCAGTAATCAATCTGGTGTATATTGGTTGACTTGCCTCAACTCAATATTGGTTGAGTGCTTCAGACAGCCTCCTAGATCTAATGGAGATGGGGAATCAAACAACCTACCTCCTCTACTCCACCCATAGGAAATTACTCTCAGAATAATACATAGAAGAAAACGTTTCAAAACCAGAGTCCAGTAAATGTGTCTGTGAGATTTTTTTTTTTCCAAAATGTATGTGTAATTTTCATACTGAATGTGATTCTTGAATTGGTTCTTGTCCTTTAATAGACATTTGAAAGCAAGATGAAGGAATTGAGCAATACCAAAAGAGAGAAATTACGTGCCTCTCAGGATACGATTAATAATTCTGTATTCACTTTGACATATGCTTAAGTGAGATGTACGTCATTCATTGAATGAGTATGTTTAATAGAAAACAGTCTCCTTTCCTCAGTTGTTTACTGGATAAGGTCAAGCCCCAAGGGGGAAAATGGCATATAAAATTAAACTGTATCTCAATGCAGATACATAAGCGAACTTAATTAGGGTTGCACAGACAATATTAGTTTGGTAATTCTGAATTTCAATCTGCAAGTTGTTTTTTAATGTAAAGTAGTCATAGTTCAATAGCACAGGAAAAAGAAACGCTATGTTTTAGACACTAGTATTTAAACCTGTTTTACAGTTATGAACCTTAGCTTGTATATTATCTGGGTCTGACAAAAAAAGATAGGGATCCAAGTTTATTAGATATTTAAGGATGACAGCCACATTTCATCAGAGATGAACAGCAGAGAGGCCAGATACAAGTGCGAAATACCAAAGAAGTATGGGCATCCCAAAGCTGAGTGAAAGGAATATTGGCTGATACTGAAGGAAGGACATTGAACATTGATGAACGGTCCAAACCCCCCTTTTCCTTTTACTCTGTCTGACTAATACGTAACACTGTAATGCCACAACTAAACTGAACAGTATTAAAAAACTTTTAATATTTGAAATGACTAATGCAGTGATATTTTTATATATAAAAACGCCCTAAAAGTTACTTTACTGATTAAAAAGGGTTTGAGACTTTATACTTCAGGGTATGAGTCACTTATTGAAGGAAATTATTCTGTACAAAATATATTGTGTAAAACTTCATAGACTTTAATTATTTTTTTATTTTGTTTCTTTCCTTGAGGAAGATACGGAGTTTAATACTCTCCATTTTTCGTTTTCATACAGGCTACTAACTTTAGATATCTCCTGTGCTGTGATGTTTGTAAGACTCTTATTATGTGCCCTTATAATGAGGACTTTAAATTTAATCTTTTGTCATGGTCGAATCAAATATTTGTAGAATCAGTGCTTTGAATATTTTTGAAATTGATTTATGCTTTTTTGTGACTGTTTTTAAGATGAAAAGCAAAAGTCGTTCTGATTTATCAGAACTCAAAGTAGGACACAGCACTATTGAGGATATAATGTCAAGAGCTTATGACAGTTTTGATATCCAGCTCAGCAGTATACAGTTACTGTACAGCAAACATGGTAAGTATTCATGAAAGTAATCTTTCTCTACATAAGTAAAAATATTTTGGTGGTTTATGTACCTTTTATATTTTTAACTGAAACAGTGGAGAATCTTTGGAACATACTTCTTCCAACTCATGTTCTAAATTCAGTCCTATAAACATGTTACGAATTTCTAAAAGGTACCTTTAGGCTTTAGATTCCAACCTCAGCTTTTGCTAAATAAATAAACTTACAATAAATCCCTTATTTTTGAAGACTTCTCATTTGATTTGTTGTATAATAAATATGAGTGTAGTTAATTTATTTATGGTAGTTTCCTTCAGTGCCTTTTCCTTACTTCCCTCCAAATTTAAAGCAGAATCCATGAGTAGTTGTAAGTTTGATTGTTTTGTGAAGGCAAAGTCCTCACAAAGGACTTTTTCTGAAGGAAAATTTTAGTAGTAGTTTGGGAACTACCAGTATAGAAAGAGTCAGAACCAGGGAAGTCTTAAGCATTTAATTCTTAACCCCCTGATTCCAGAGGGTAATCCGGAGCCTAAACTCCCAGAGCCTGAACCATGCATGTTAAGAATTGGGCCCTTAGAATTCTGCAGCATGGATGGAGTACCTGTTTAGATGTGAATGGTAGAAATTAACTGGTCTTGTATGTCTGAAATTTGGATCTTACATAGTATGCTTGTATTGATAGAGCTGTAAAAGAGATCATGTCACCTGAATTTTTAGCAATATATACTACCTAATATCAGATACTTTAATTTTGTGATGTGTGTGGCATTTTGTGATAATGAGAAGGAATCTTTTTCAGTGTTTAAAGCATAGGTTTTCTTTGCTCTTGTAGATGAAAACTGGCAAGAGGCTCGGAAACTGAAATGTTCATCTCAACATATCTTGCAGCCCTTGGATGTAAAAGTGGAGTTTAGCAGGGCTATGGTTGTTACAGATGCAAGAATGCCCAAGTATGTGTTTTTTCCTATTTTTATATTTTATGGTAAATGACTATGTTAGGGGGGAAAAAAGACAAAAGTCAAGGATCTAATTATATTTGCACTATTTTACATCAGCCACACGTGACTCGTGGAAGTAAAATACCTTCATCAAGAAAAATAGAGATTAAACCCAATAAGTTGCCAGATATTAAAGAGATGATAGAATGTTATATTCCTATAAAAGAAGTATGTACAATATTTTTAAAGATTTTTATTAACAATAGTAATACCTGTTCTAATTAGGTCTTTCTAATAGCTACATTTCCATTCTCATTACTGAGAAGCAAAAAATCCAAACTTAGAAAGTCTCTTTTGTAAACAAAACACAAAATATTCTGAAAAATAATGTGCTGTCATACTCTCTCTCTTTCATTTCGATTTTTCATCTTGTTTGTTTACATATTAGAGATCACTTCTCAGGGAAACAGCTCTTAATGCATTGAGTTTGCACTTAGGCTTATTTAGCAAAAAACCTGTTGTTATGGAAATTGTACTCAAGCAGAAGAAAATGTATGTTACTATTAATGATGAAACTTTGATGTTAAAGATCCCTGAGTCAAAGTGGCAAAGATATACTTTGCACATATTTTGGAAAGTGTGTCTTCACTAATATATGATAAGGACACTACTGCCTAAAAAAATCTGATCAGTTTTGAAGTACTTGCAAACTAGCATATTAATGCATTACAAGGTAGTTTGGCTTAAGTAATTAATAAGGATCACAGTCCTATGCTATAACAAGGTAGCATATGCTTATTTCATTCTTAACACTGTTGGAAATTAAGATTTTAGCTAGGCACTTCAGAAAATTAATGGCATAAAAATAGACCTAGGTTATTGCAGAAAATTGTTTAGTACAGTCAGCAAAATCAAGAAGCAGTTTATGAAATAAAAGAATTATGAAGAATCTAAGATTTACTTAGTCAGGAAAAAAACCTAAAAATAATGTACCTTACAAGGGCTGTGTATTGTGAATGCAGACCAATGATGGCATGGTATAATGGTGCCACCTTCTGGAAAACTGAGAGGCCCGATTCTGAATTTTGATGTTTGATTTTACAAAACATCTTATTCTTTCCCTCCTTACTTTTTCTCTGTTTGGTGGAGAATGTGCGATAAGGGAAATACAATTCACAGGAATCTGTCTTTATGTCAGAAAGCCCAGAGAGGAAAAGTGAGATTTCATTTCTGTAGTCATATAACAGAATGTTATTTTAATGTAGGTTTGTAATTGACATCTGTCCAAGTTATGCTATTATAATCTGGATTAAGGAGTGTCTGCTCTTAATGATAACACCTCTTGCAGTGTTGTAGTATTACTACCTAACTGACTTAGCTACCAGGTGTGCTTCTCCTTTCAGCAGTTTATGTGTCTAGACTGATTCTGTGGAATTTTTCCCTAATGGCTATTACTTCTGTATGTTGTGGTTTAACCCCATCTGGCAACTAAGCACCACACAGCTACTCACTCCCCCAAGAGAATCAGAAGAGTAGAAGTGAGAAAACTCATAAGTAAAGCAAAAGCTGCGCACACTAGTGAAGTAAAACAAGGAATTAGTTGACCGCTTCACATTGGCAGACAGGTGTTCAGCCACCTCTAGAAAAGCAGGGCTCCATCATGTGTAACTGTTATGCAGGTGGACAAATGCCATAACTCCAAACGTCCCCCCCCTTCCTTCTTCTTCCTTCAGCTTCATATGCTGAGCGTGATGTCATATGGTCTGGAATATCCCTTTGGTCAGTTGGGGTCAGCTGTCCCAGCTGTGTCCCCTTCCAACTTGTTGTGCACCCCCAGCCTGCTTGCTGATGGGGTGGTGTGAGAAGCAGAAAAGACCTTGACTCTGTGTAAGCACTGCTCAGCCATAATGGAAACATCTCTGTGTTATGAACACTGTTTGCAGTACAAATGCAAAACATAGCCCCATACTAGCTACTATGAAGAAAATTAACTCTATCCCAGCCAAAACCAGCACACTGTATTTGAAATTCTCATACAGTCACTTACTTGACAGTAAATAGTTTCTACCTGTGACTAGAAATTGCCAAATTTTTCTTCTATTGAGATAAGAACATTTCTTGGAGAACAGCTGCTGCTTCTGAGTGCTGCACTGTCTATAACTTTTAGGAATGCCATGGACATCAGTTTGCTACTAGGTAAGCTTATACCACAGGGAGTTACTAATCACATCTAATACTTTAACCTGTGCCAAGAGCAAGTAACCATTTCAAATCTAGCTTCTTGATACCGTGCCTCAACTTGAGTTGAGTTCAATCTGAACTCTGTTCAACAGTTGAACTTGTTCATTTTGTACCTGGTTCAGTCTCCAAGTGCTTCCAGGATGCATTCTGCAGATGGTATTACAATATTCTAGAGTCTATTAGTCTATTCTAAATAGTCTAGACTATTCTACTAGTTGTGAAATGACTGGTGCAGCAACTGTTTATCTGATAGTGGAGATTTGACCTTTTCTTTAAGGGCTTGCTGTTCTTCCTTCTTGCTTTGAGCTCTTTGAAAAGTCTGAAGTCTGAAAATCATGAACTTCTGTATAGTATACATCCAGTTAGGACTGTATGATAAATTTTTCCATTTGGTTGTATAGCTCCCAGATTAGTTAAAACTACAAAGATTCTATTTTCTGTTGGTCTCTAGCTTTGACTACCCAAGCTCATCAGTACTGTCAGGACCAATGTAACTTCAAATGCCAAATCTCTTACTATCACTGCATAATCTCTTTTTACTTTTAAGAATAGTCAGTTAATGAGTGCTTATGTACAAATATTTAAATCCATGTGATCTCTAGATGACATTGTGCACAAATGATAAAAATTAATTAATAACTTTTGTGTCAGCAAAAATCCTGTAAACTGTAAATTTTAGTAATAATAGTTGAATAGGGACAGTTGAATGTGACAGTATTGCTCACATTAGTTATACATATATGAATGTATTTTTAGTACACATGTAGCTATTCCTTTATATTGCAATTTTTTATAAGTATACTTGCATATAAAGTGAGCATTATATTTTTTTCTGATCTTTTTTTCATTAATGTTTGGAACTGTGCTGTAGAACAGCATAGTTCTGTTGAGAAAGATGAGTGGAAAAATGTTTGTTCTGCAGCAAAAACTAGTACCAAAATTGCTTTGTTTACTGGAGTAGCAGTTTGAGTGAGTCGCTTAGTTTGGAAGGCACCTATTTTACTTTAATTTATCTAAAAAGCAGATAATTTGGTGTCTGTATTTTTTTTGATTCTTTGATGCTTGTGGTTCCTTGGGTGACCATTGCATCCGGTTGGATTCCTTGTGATTTTGTTGTTCAAAAAACAATAATGAATTCACAAGGACTTTGTGCTGGCTTTGTTTAGAAAGGCACATTTCTATATTGCTGCATCAAAGAGAACACTAATTTATGTAATTTTCATTTGTTGAAGACCACTGTGTCAAGGACCTTTCACTGTTAACCTGTATTTTCATCTGCTTATGTTTCCTAAGCCTTAAAATGGGCTTTCATTCTGTGGTTGGATATGAATATCTGCCTGCCTTTCATTTCTGAGAGTAGAATGCAGTGCTGCTTATAGTTTCTGCCACTTCACATTTGGAAGCGCTAATAGGAATCCATAGTTTTCTAGCCTATGTAAGGTTTTTTTTTAATGTTTGTTTTATCCTGTGATACGTTTCCCATATTTTCTGAAGGAGGTGTCTGAGAGTCTGTCATCTGGTTTTTGAAGGTGTATGAAGCCAGTATTAGGATACCAACATTAAAAGCTTCTTTCCATATAATAGTGTTCATTAAAAAAATATTTTAAAATTCTAGATCTACTTATTTGCAGCTTTGAGAATGTTATCCTTAGCATTTCCTACTCTTTAAATACAAATACTCTGAACTTGGAAGAAGTTCTTGCACAGATTTCCTCATCAGTCGAAGTACTTAGCTCCTCCCTACCTCAGTCTCTACAAATTGGGAATTGTTGTATTCTGCTTCTAGACCTTTTCTGAACCTTAAAAGCTTTTGTTAAAAGAGCACTGTAGTGAGCCTGGGATTATTTGCAGTTACCTGCCTTGTATCTGCTACATGCCTTCCATGTAACTGCATGGGCTGTCTGTTGTACAAACATTCATCAAAAATGTCTTGTGAACATGAATTTTTGTAGGGAGATTTAAGTCCAATGGAAGTGAGAATTGCTAATTGTCTTAGATTCCTGGAGCACTAAGCAGTAGATAGACAAGTCCTTTCAGACCCTGCAGCTACACATCGACCCTGCACCTCTCCATTAAAATAAAAGAAATAAAAAGAAAAAAAAAGTTCTAAACTTCTCTCTGACAGAACTGGAGTTAAAAGTAAAAATCAAAAGTAGTTGAGAATTAATTCCTTAAGAATTTGAGGATGTGAAGAAATGAATAAATTGTAGGAAATGAGGTACTTTCACACATTGTTTCACATGTGCAACTTTGTGCTTGGCTTGCTCAGGTATGAGGATCTGTTTTTCCAGTTACACTGGTAGTCTTAATCATCCTCAACTAACTTTGAAAATTTTGAGGGGTTTTGTAGTTGCAACATCTCCCTTTGAAGATTGAGCTGTGAGTTAAGCACAGCAAAACTGAGAGAAAATAGCAGATCCTGTTCCTCACACCGCATGTTAAATAACAAAAGGGAATAATTTCTGATTGTGAGGAAAATATTCTTTATGTAGCCAAATCAGAAGTGGTTATTGGTATTATTTGCAGTCCTGATCCACAAGACATTGTATCAAATGGAAATATAAATTACGTTAATAACTGGATATTTGCTCGTTAAGTAACTGTGCAACAGAATTTTTTTATATATATATATTT